CTATATACTGAACCATCAAAAACTGATTGACAAAAAGAAAATGTTGAATTTTTTTGCTTTTCACTCTTTTATCATTTAATATGAGATAATAGTAATAAATAAGCAAAAAAATAAAAAATAAAAATGAAACGTCCTTGGAAAAAAACAAAACAAACAAAAAAAAAAAAAACACTTCCACAGCGAATTCTGTAGAATTGGCAGTGAATCCAATGACAGACCATTGAATCATTTATGGAAATAGATTAATTTTTATCACATACATTTAGTTCCCGCTCCGAGAGGTCCTGTCTAGCATTTAATGAAACCCCTGAGGTTTCTCTGCAATAATATTACCATCTCCTCCTCCACGTGATGCTTTATGTGGTTAATGTATTAATCCACTTACTAAAAGTTCGTAGGTTCGATTTCCACATAAATGTTCCAAACCCTGTTCAAGTAGTGCTTATCCTGTGTAAGTGTTATGGGATCTTACCAATAATAATAATAATAATAATAATAATAATAATAATGGACTATTCCATACTTAATAAATACTGCGCCTCAGGAGTCAGTAGTTCAAGTCGAGTCAAGAGTCGAGTCAGAGGCAGTCTGAAACCGAGTCGCGTTCAGACAATTACTGCAAGACATTGGAATAGTGATACTGGTCGAGACTACATTGTTCTCTCTACTAAACCTGATTGTTCATACTAACACTTTTCTATTCTCTGTATATATTCCTGTTTGTAATATATCTGTGTTATTCCATATCCGTGTTCGAGTTTTTCTTTATTGGTTCTACCTTGGACTATCACCGTGGTACAAGGAACTGGGCCATAACAGTAAGAATGGTAGTTTTTTTCTTATCAGAATTATTTAATAAATTTAATCTTTGTTCACTGTGTCGTGCTCGGGATTCTATTCTCGTTAGAATCCATCTTGCTCATTTATTTAATCAACTATTCGTCTATTCTTTGAATACTACTGCCATATGCGGTCTCGTAATACGGCTATAGAGCTCAAGATTTTCGAGAAAATCCAAAGAGTCTGTAATCTTATCGGTCCTGACCTGGCATCTCGACTTCAGTCACATTCCCATCGTTCTAACATAGCTTCCCTTCCAGTCTTTTCTATAAATATTTTCATGGCAGTTGTTCTAATGAACTCTCCACTTCGTCTATTGACTGCATGAATGTAAGCGTACTACTAGGCGACAAGCTCTCATCGTTTTGAGATTTGAAATGGCTAGATGTAACCGTATGTTCTGTTATGATAGTTTCATTCCAAGCACTTCTCACTTATAAAACTCCCTTCTAGTTTCTTTATTCCCTACTACCTACGATCTTCAAATATTTAAAACAACGTCAAACGCTATCTTCTGTCTTCCTGTTCTTTTATTGTTCTCACTTAAGTTTTCTCATTATCTTTCATTCTCAGTAACCGTTTGCGTCTCAGTGATTTTATCGCCTTGGTTGTTTGTTTGATTTTGTTTAGCGGCATTTCAACCTCTATGGGCCACTTAACGCTTTACCTGTTCAGGACATTTTCCTATTTACTATCCAAACGTTTATGCTTGCTTTCAGATTTATAAATATTGCAAGGCAAATCAGCTTATTAGGCAAATACAATGTTCTGTTATATAGTGTTTCACATATAAAAAAAAAACAACGGAAAAATCATAAGTTATTTATACTATGCGCTGTACGTCACATACGATGCACATGTTTTTATTACGTGAAACACTATATTTTTCAGCACATATTCTTTGCCAAATGAGCTGAGTTGACGTGCAATAGTTATAAATCTGAAAACTGCGGTCCTTTGGTCATATATCATGAACAAATATTAGATTAGGCCTTTACCCAGACGTCCTGTTCAATAGTAAACTCATTTCTTAAGCGTCCTTAGATTTACCACTCTTAAAATCATGGCTCGAGTGGATCACATATGCACGGGCGTAGAAATCACATATCCTATGAACGACATATGATCCATGGACGTGGAAATCACATATCCTATAAACGACATATGGTCCATGGACGTGGAAATCACATATCCTATGAACGACATATGATCCATGGACTTGGAAGTCACATATCCTATGAACGACATATGATCCATGGATGTGGAAATCACATATCCTATGAACGGTATAGGATCCATGGACGTGGAAATCACATATCCTATGAGCCACATATGACCCACAGACGTAGAAATCACATATCCTATGAACGATATATGATCCACGGACGTGGAAATCACATATCCTATGAACCACATAAGATCCAAGGACGTGGAAACCATATATTCTATGGACCAAATATGATCAACAAACGTGGAAATCACATATTCTATGAACCACCTATGATGCACGAACGTGGAAACCATATATCTTATGAACGACATATCACCTACGACGTGAAAATCACATATCCTATGAATGACATATGATTCACGGACACGGAAATCACATTTCCTATAAAACATATATGATCCACGGACGTGGAAATCACATATGTGAACGACATATGATCCACGGACGTGGAAACCACATATCCTATGAACCACATATGATCCACGGACGTGGAAACCATATATCCTATGAACCACCTATGATCCACAGACGTTAAAACCATATATCCTATGAACCACATATGATCTACGGACGTGGAAATCATATGTGATGCACAGAATAGGCAAAGGGTTAATGCCAAAATCTAAATATTTTGAACATATATTTATGACTACAAATAAAATGTATTGTTGGTCATTTTGCTATGAAATCTTTCGTTAGTAATTCTTCTGTAAAATACATTGCTAGTCATTTTGCTTTTAAAAAGTACTGTTGGTAATTTTAATATAAATACGTATCGTTGATAATCTTTTTATATAAAAATGTATTGCTAGCATTTTCAACATAAAAATGTATTTTTATAATTTCATAGTGTTTGGTTTTTGCTTGGGGTTAGCTATTTGCTCATAGCTAGGAAACTAACATGTGCTACCACCACGGGTCAAGGTGAATCTGAAAACAACAGCAATTGACAGGTGATTCCACGTTCGTCAAAATCTTCAAACTCCCGATCAATGGCCTTGCATGGGAGTGAAATTATTAAAAAGAAAATCTAGCCATGATTCTGTTATTGTCTATATACACATTACCTCTCCTCCTGTCATGTAAAATAAGTATTTTCATTTCTACCTATTCATGGCTGGAGTGTCTCAATTTTTGGAGACGGTGTCTCCTTCTCGTTAACAGCAACGTTCCTATGCCAAGCAGATATATATTATAATCCTAAACAACAGTATGTCTTCGTATACATCACCATTTTTTATCATCTTCAGTCAGCCATGCGTGATACACGCTTAAGCGATCATGTATCTTTTGATACATGAATGACGAGTCAGAATTTTTTCCCACACTAGGTTGCCATTTCTTTCTGCGGTAGACCAGTTGCCATCCAAGGCTATAGAACCTGGTCTGTCCTGCTATTTACCCATAGCTGAAGGAAGAAGAAGAGGATTCATACCTTTTTCAAGGGTATTTGCACATAAGTGAATGTAATGGATTCGACTGGAAAGTCAGTCAGTCAGTTATGTAACATGCGTAATACACGCTTAGGCGATCATGTATCTTTCGATATATGACTGACAAGGTTGCCATTTCTTTCTGCGGTAGACCAGTTGCCATCCAAGGCTATAGAAATCAATCTGTCCTGCCATTTATCCATAGCTGATGGGAGAAGAAGAGGATTCATACCTTTCCCATGGGTATTAGCACGTAAGTTAATTTAATGGATTTGACTGGAATTCGAACTCTGTTCTTCGCTTCCTCAATCCAAGCCGGTATCCATTACGCCACCATGCCTCCACCTGTTACCTTACCTCATTGTAAATGAGGGATTTCTTTTTTTATCTATTCCCTATTAATTAAAATAACCGTTATTTGCAAACGTTCTCAATTTGGACTAAAGACCAGGCTTAACATAACTTCGCTAAATCGGTCCCGTACGATCACCGAAGTTACGCAACGTCAAGCCTGGTCAGTACTTAGATGGGTAAACACTGGAGTATACCAGATATTGTAAACTTGGTTGTGCAAATGGTGTAATGGATAATGGCTTGGAATTGTTAATCGGAGAGTCGAGTTCAAATTCACGTTGGTTTTGTTATATTCACTTACGAAAAAATACCACTGGGGAATGTATGCATGCCCTTGTTCACCTCCACCTATTGGTTAATTACTTAGTGTTGTATCATTAGACCATTTTTATCGCAAAACATATTAGAATCTAAAAATATGTTCTGACTTTAAATAACCTGCAAAGGGTTGATAATCCGTAGAAAACGAATCGATCAACAAAATGAAAATAACTTCGTTGAAAGAACGAAAACTGATGTTGTGAGCGTGCAAGGTCACGCTGAAATTAAACTGAACAAATAAGACGTGATTTAAAAAAAACATAAAAGATAATAATATTGAACCATGTCCAAAAAGATATAAAGCATCGATCTAAGGAGTATTTTAGAAACGAAAACCTAATTTATTCAGTAAATTTTAAAAAAATTGCGAACATCACTTTCGTCCACATGACAATGATGTCGCTTTTTGTCCTCTTGGCCCGACCGGAAATAGTCAGCTGCATCCATTACTCATGGATTCATGTAAACTCAAATAAAAACCCAAGCATGATTCACATTTAGGTTGGTGTATAAATCTAATTATTGTTTACCAATACACACACACACACACACACACACACCTACATACACTCACCTATACACACAGACCAACACACACACCTACACACACACACACCTACACACACACACGTTCAAAACCAACCAATGTCTAACTATTGTTTCAAGACCTAACATAACAAATATTTAGCTATTCTCGATCAGTCAATTAAAATATTGATCACTATTTACCTGCAGATTACAGAATAAACTCGAACAATATTTATATAGACTTAAGTATGAAATCGATCATTGTTTACTATAAAACCCAAGTATGCACTCAA